TATATTACTTCATATTCTAAGTCTTAGACTTAGATTTAGTTTTTCATTTGTCCTCGTTCTTTTGACATTTCTATCATACTTGTTAATATGCTTGTTTTTGTTTGTTTAGTATCTTAAGCAACAATATTCTTGTCTTTTAATAATACAATAGGAGTATATTCATCAATATTTTTGTCTTTGTTTGTTTAGTATCTTAAGCAAAATTAGTAAAAATTATAATTCTCATTTACTTACTGTTTGATTTAAATCAAGCTAAAATATGCAAAAATTTTCAAGTAAAAATAATTTATTTGGGAAACACTTTTTCATATAAATTTCTTCTAATATTTTCTAAAATTCTTTTGCAGACTCAGCAAGGTAACCAGTGCGCATTCCTAAAACTCTGAGTAACTCCATTTTATTGGAGGAATTTGAATTAAAGGAATTTTTAATAACTTGTCAAATTTATTATTTTATTTGACAGTAGGATAAATTTCAAATTTACAAAATTAGTCGCGAATTTCAAATCCATTTTATTTAATATCTCATTATTTTATTTGTTTAGTGTTTTTATTTAAATGTGTTTTTTATATTAAATATGAAAAAAAAAAATCAATAATATAAAATATAATATTTTTTTTATTTTTTTTTAAACTTTTTATCGGTAAAAAAAAAAAATATTCTATTTATACATTGTATTTTTGGTAATATTAATAAAGAAGTACTGAAAATATTATTGGGTGAACACATCAGTAGTTTTTATTACTATATCTAAGGGTGGGCGTTCGGGTCGAGTAGTTCTATCCGACCTGAGCCGTTCGGGTTCTAGTTAATCGGATTGGTATTTTTTACAAAAATATGTAAAATTTCAAGGTTTTGGATACTTAATCAAAAAGTTAGGTTGGGTATTGAGTACGCAAATTCATATCCGAAATCCGTTCGGGTAACCGAATTTTATTTTTTATTTTTGAATTTTATATTTAATAATAAGAAATGTATTTTAATCTAAATTGCTAATAATAATGATAATTTGTAGGATAGATATTTGATGTTTGATTTTAAATTTTTAATACTACAATATATATTCTTATATTTTTATAATATATATACATAAGAATTGAATATGGTATTAATAATATTATTAGATTAAAAATTTACCACTTTTTAGTTTAAAATGATCAAAACATAAAACTTTCTCTTATATTTTAAAATTCTAATACCAGAAAGCTAAAAGTGTAAGATTGGACTTAACTCAATCGATTGAACATTAGAGATTATAAAGTTATAATTGTAGATCCACATCACTATATGTTCTTTTATTTATAAATAAATTTTGAGTTATTCATGGTTAAAAATTTAGCACTAGTAATTTTACATGAATGAAAATGTGTTTATATTAAAATTTGTAAAAAAAAAACTAATTATCTTCTAAAAACAAAAATAAAATAAAAGTAAAAAAATTAGGGTACTCGAATTAAAAAAATACTGGGTACCCGAAATATTCAGATACCCGATATTTAGAATACTAGAAAAGTTCAGGTCAAATTCGAGTAGCATAAAATATTATCCAAAATTTTGGGGACTCACCGGACTCCACCCCTAACTATATGATTCCAAATACTTTATGCAACCAAATCATAAATTTTAATAATAATATATTTCGAATTCGAAGTAATTTAAATCTATTTATTCAAAATACACTTATTAATCCAAACTTATCCAATCAAACATGAATTAGAATACAACCAAAAGTACTTTTCATTAATTAAAATGAAAGGCCTTGAAGCCAAGCCCCTATAGGTCAATTTAAGTAAGAAGGCATCCCAGCTTCGTCCCGTGGGTCAAGCCCCTATTTGGTTACATTTTTTTTTATTTTTTATATTAAATTAAAAATAAATTTATATTCAAACTATATCAATATATATAAATATATTTATATCACACCAAATAATTATTTGAATTTAAAATTCGACAACTTAAAATTCAAATCCGAAACAAGCACTCCCTAACTAGTCTCAACGACTAACTCGATGTCCATATCATTGTCGCCATCGTCGCCCAAAAGCCAAACAATCATGTTAAATTAATACTTTTCATAAAAATATGTATAAATTTTGAGAGTTTAGGTATTATATATTAAATAAAATAAATAATCTTTTCTTTCGCGATAATTATGTCAAGTTTTCATATTTTGATTATCTATATTTTAAAAACATAATAGAGTAAATTATATAATATTTTTTTGTGTTTTAATAAACATATATAAAATACTTTGTATTTTATTTATTCTGTAAAAATTTTATGTTAAATTAAAATATGTACAAAATATTATTTTTCCCCAAAATTGACTTTTTTTTTAAAAAAAAATACAATATAATTATGCAAGTTTTATCCATATAAAATTATATTAAATATTTTTTGAATGAAATAAATAACTTAATAATTAATCAATCATTTATTCTATAACTTTTTAAAAACAATTTGTTATCTATGTTTACATTAAAAACAAAAAAAAAAAAAAAAACAAAAAAAACAAAAAAAAACACTATAAAATGAAGGATTGAACAATTATCTATTTATGAATTTTTTTAAAAAAAAATTATTTCAGAAATTTTATATAAGTATAAAATTTGTTAATTAAATTTGTATTTATAAATAAACATCAACTTTAGACAAAAAGAATATTTTGTTCATATTTTAATATAAAGAGTTTCACACATTTTATTTATTATATTATATAATTTATCCAAAATAATAATAACCAATTTGACATTTTCTTTTTATTTATTCAACCTTTTTGTATTAACTCTTTAATAAATTTCTTATAATAGCATATTCTATCTTTCACCTACTTTAATTTTATATTAAAATATGATGAAATTTTAATCGTGCTACTTTTCAATTCTAATATTCTTGCTAAATACTACCTTAGGCTCACTCCAAAATGCTCTTATTTATATATATATATAGTAAATTAATAAATAATAGTATTTTATTGATTAGTAAAAGTGTGTAAAAATTTTTGATATTTTTATTTTTTAATTTTATGTATGGATTAATTGGATGAATAATAGTATATTTGTAATTTAAGTAAATATTAAAAATATGTTGGTATTAATATATAATTAATTTACCAAAATAAATATTTTTGAATGGAATAGAAGAAAATGATAAAAAAAAAAAAAAAAAGAAAAAATACTTTCAATGAGGCAAATAAAAAGTATATTTTTACAAATTTTTTTAGGTGGCGTGTATAATTGTTTATAGTTTTCTATCCATTTTCCCTTTATTTTTGTTTAAAATGATTTTTTAAAGAAAAAAATAATGATACTGTAAAACTGAGAAAATAAATAAATAAATAAAATTCAAAACATTCAAAATAAGTATTTTTTTTTTGGGGGTTTGAATTTTGTTTGAAATTTAAATTAAAAAAAAAAAAATATTCAATTGAATAGTTGTACGATGTTATATAAATATGAGTTGATGTAATATTTTATTTTTAGCATAATATAATATATGCAAATTAGATATTTGATTTTATACGTTTAGGTATAAAAGTTTGATGAATAATAAATTTTGATTAATCACGAAAAAAATAGAAAGGTTCAGATAAGATCAAATTGACAGCTAAGTATTTTGAGGAGCAACCAGAGATATGGCCAGAACTAGATAATATTGGCTTGAGATCCCTTTCTCAACAACAATGAGAAAGTTTAATTAGATTTATTGATGCTTACAGGTATTTGGTGTCTGTGGTCTTCTCATAATGAACTTATCTTCCAAGGAAAATCAATCTCTAGAACAAGTTAATCTATAGAGTAAGATGGAATATCCGGAAATGAATTCATGCTAGATATCCTCAAGAAACTGCAAGTGTTCCACTAATTGATGATAACCTGTCAAAGATTTCTATACAACCAAAAACTATGGGTGAATTGTTACAACGAGACGTGGAGTGGATCCCTCCGGCAACCGGGATGTGGAAAATTAACGTAGATGGTTATTAGGTTAGTTGTGGGCTTTCCCATTCCGAAATCAATTATCGAGGGCAATCCTACTAAGGTGGTCACTTCGCTCTCCAACAATGAAGGCTTTCCTCGGCATCTTGATCGCAAGGTGCAAGACATTCGTAGCTTCATCAGTCACTCGAATTGGACAAAAATCTCTCATATCGTGCAATTGTCTGGCTGATGGTTTGGCTAAGAGAAACTCCGGTCGGAATACTGAACTTTTAGCATGGTAATAGAAAAGATGTATGTGCTTTGTTGTATTTTGTGGCTTGCTAGAGTTCTTCTGGAAAAAGAAAATAGTGAATTTGTGGCAGTTTATTCTCTGTCAAGAAGGTTGAAATATTTGATGAAATATTCGATGAAATGTATAATTTGATAATAATGGAATAAATAGTTTGTTTTAAAAAAGATAAACATACCTGTATATGTACTTACTTTTGTAGACCATAAATTATTTTTATATTCTGGTTAAAAATAAATTCAAAGAGTATTTTTTTCTCTAATAAATAAAAAATAAAATAAAATATTTAAAAAATGTCAAATCCTAAAACCATTCGTTACAAAAATGAAAAATTATTTTTGGCACGAAGATTAAAAAATATTGTATTATAAGGATAGTTGATCGATTTTTAAAGACAAATTTATCTTTTGGCTTTATTTATAACTGAATGATATTTGTGTAAATAAATATATTTTAAAAAGTATTTATAATAAACAGTGAGGTAGATAGTTATTAAAAATGAAATATAATCCGTATAAGTGAACATTATTCAAAAATAGAAAATATAACTATTGTAACAGAACAGAGAAGTACTAAAAGATAAGGTCATGTTGTAGATTTTTTTTTTAAGAAAAATTAAAAATTACTATACCATTGTAAATTAAATAAATAAATAAACCTACTTTCTATATAAAATAATTACTTTATTTAAAGAAAAAAAAAATTAAGACTGAAGTTAGATAAACGTTTTTTAACTTTTTTATAATTCTAGAAATTATTATTTGATATATATCAAACCGGATTAAAACAAAGAAACAAACACCCGTATGTAATTAAACAGCGTCTAATACGACGACAACACCACGGCCGATTAGTCTTCAGATCATTATCTCTCTCAAACTCCGCCCTTTTTATTCGGACAAAAGAAAAAACAAAGTCGCCAGTACATATATTATTATTACATTAAACTATTATTATTATCATTATCATTATTATTATTATTATTATTATTATTATTATTATTATTTCATCCCTGAAGTTTGACGGTATTATGAGGATGGTTGGTATCGACAAATCCATCGTCACATTCACACTCACAGAGGCGCAGCGCCGTCAGCGCTTTGTCGAAATGCTTGGCCTTCGTCCCCAGATACTCGCTCCAGCTTATCGCCCTGTACAGCGCCGGCCGCCGCTCGTCCACCACCTTCGCCGCCGGGCTTATCTTAACGTGCGCCGGCGGTCCGTACAGGTACGCCACCGACAGGCGGTGGCGGGCCCGGTTCACCACCGCCCGGTGGACCACGCTCGGGAACACCCCGTTCGACAGGATGTGCATCAGGTCCCCCACGTGCACCACTAGCGCCCCCGCCGCCGGTGCCACCGTCGTCCACCGCCCCGACCCCTCCCGAAGGACCTGCAGCCCGCTGGTGTTGCTCTGGTGGAGAATCGTCAGGATCGTCGAGTCCGTGTGCGCCGCCAGCCCCATCGCTCTCTCCGGCTCCGGACACGCCGGATACGAATTCATCTGCACGGCGGCGCCGGCGCCGGCGCCGCCCCATTTTATGTCGTCGGAAGTTATTCCCAGCGATCCCAACATTAGCCACATCAGCTTTCCCGCCAGCTCCTTCATTTCTTTCTTGTAAGCCTCGATAGTATCACTAAAAAAAAGAAAAAAAAAATGGTAAGATAATGCAAGTTTTTACTATTGTTAAATTATTATTTCACTTATATTGAGATATTTTAGATATTTAATTATAAATTTAATAGATTTATATTAGATTTGATTTATAATCAAGGCAATACAAAACAGACTCAAACATTCAAATTTAAGTAATCTAATCTATGTATAAGACTAAATCTAAATTAAATATCTAAAATATACAACTTAAAATTTTAAATTATCAAGCAATAATCGCGATCGTATTACAATCGGTGATTAATTAACGTCCTCTGTTAAAATGATCAGTTCAGCTAAAAGTTGAAGTACCAGAAATGTTGGTAGTCGTCGGGCCAAAGGAGGCGGGCATAGTCGACAAGGGAGTCATCGATGGTGAACCCTTCGGACCACATGAGTTTAGGGAAGAAGGAGGAGATACGGGCGACCCCATATCCGGCGACGCCGTTAGGGGGGCGAGCGGCGCGGAGTTTTTGGTGCAATGGGAGAGAGAAGAGGTGATTTCCAGCGAATTCGACTTGATCGAGCAAGTTCTTGGAGACGTTGTGATTGACGACTTGGAAGACTCCCCAAGTCTTGCATGCGCGGCCGATGAGGTCAGGGGCATTCTCGTCGGCTAGGTCGATGAAAGGTACCGTTTCGAGATCGTCACACGTGTCGTCGGGGGTGTGGTCATCCGGCCCCCATGCATGAGTTTCAGGCAATTCTTTGATGGAATAGAGGTCCAAAAGTTTGTTGGGAAAGGGGGCTATTGATCTTGAAGGCATGGTGTGGGGTGGGGAGGGGGGGGTATGGTTGTATATGTAGATGGGAGTCCTCGTACTAGTGAAAGAAATGTATGTAAAGGGAACAATTAATTATAAGGGTTTGGTGTAAGGGAAATTGAGTTTCGAGGGAAACTATGTTGCAAGGGAATGATGGGGTGTGTGGGTATATATATAGGAATGGAGGGGATGGTGACCACTCAATAGGGGTAAGGATTTTGGGGATATATTTTGTGTGTGTGTGTGTGTGTGTTTGATTGCAGTGTTTTATTGGTTTTTTGGGGTTTAGTGGAGTGGTGAAATTTTAATGGGTTGTGGGAGATGACAGAGAATAATAATAGTAAAAGATGTTGTAACAAGTATATTGGACAAGGGAAAATACAAATCGAGAGATGGAAAAGACTCTTTTGCCCTCGATCCATTCTCTCTTGCAAGAATTTTGGTTTGGGCTCGTATCATCTCTCTCCATGTGCCCTTGTCTTTTCCTCAATTAGAAAAAAAAACATCTCCATCTATCTCTTCCCTACTTGGTCTTAATCCGTAGAGGTTTTTTCCCTTTTTTTTTTTTTTTTTTTTTTTTTTTTTGAATTTGGGACATGCATTCCTAGGCTCTCTCTCTCTCACCTTGAGCCTTGCAAGAAAGAAAAAAGGTGCAAAAACTTTTTTTTAAGGGTTTAACATCTAATTTGTAGATGATATGACTTGTTTGATTGGATTTAGTTTGTAAATTATCAAGTTTAACAAAACATTTATCCAAAAGATACCTTTAAGGAAAGACTGGGTTCCATGTTAAAAAAAAATGCAAAAATTAAGGGGTTTTTAGGTTCCACCATTGGTGGAGTGGGATGAGGGGTATTCTTGTCCATTCACTATTCTTATGGTTTTTGTGGACTTGCTGGTTCTGGTTCTGTCCTTGCCACCAAGTGGGCATCCTAATCATCAACTCCTGTAATAATAATAATAATAATAAATACATAATAATCAAAAGCTAGCATTTTAAACATCCATTACAAGTTTGGGGTCCTTAAGAGTATTTTATATGTTGGAATTTTGGCTGTATAGAAATCTTATTTGCACTATCTATTGCCTCTTCTATATATATATATATATATATATCAAAAGTTTCATTTTTTATTTTCGTCTATTCCAAAACAAATATATTATATAAATAGTTTTAAGTAATTGTACTGTCTACCTAACATAATAAATACCTTTATAATTTATAATAAATTACACAAATATCATTATTTTTATATTACACATACAAATAAGAATATTTTCTTTTGTCTTTCTTACTATAAACGAATATAATATTAATATTCAAATATTTACGTGTAAAAAACAAATATTACTCATATTATGAGACGATTATAATATTTCTTTCCACATACTAACCTTATAAGTGTGCTTGTTTTATGTTTTTTATTTGAATTTTTTTTATATTAGATATATAGAAATGTATAGTATTATAGAATAAAATTATTTTGTATTACATTACTGATTTTTTGAACTATAGAATGTATATTATATATTTTTGTGTGGTTATATATAAGTATGTTTTTATAATTTTAATCGAAAGATGAACCAAATTTTTTTATTGGTGAATAAATGTGACATAATTAAATAATTGTTTCAGATGATATTATGAATAAAAGAAAATGATTTGTTAGTTTAATACTATCAAATAACTGTGTTTGTTAAGTGAAATTATTTGAAAAAAAAATATTATTTTTTAATGATATAAAAAATTATACAATTAATATAAAAATAATAAGTAACTGTAATATATTCTTTTTTATAAAAAAATATATATTTTTTTGGGAATGGTGAAAGAACACATATACCAATTCCTGATATAAATTATGGAGTATTAGTAGTCTCAGATATATCATATTTTAAGATTCAGAGTCAGTCTCAGACATATCATATTTTAAGATTCAGAGCCAGTTATGATAATTATATTTGTTTGATTATAATTTAAAATTGATTTTACATAAAATATTAATTTAATGTTTTTAAGAAGAAATTATTTATATTTTTATTGACAATTTATATATAGATTTGTATTTAAAATCATAAATAAACAAGCCCAAGTTAACCTTTTGTTTTAATTTATTTCTAAAACAAATTATGTGTACTCAATTTTGTTTTTATTTTATTTATTGATATTTTTATATTTTATTTACCTCATAATAGAGTATTTTTTTATTTTTTATGATGATGCGCAGAATGAGCGTCTCATCTAAAAGATCAAACTATTAAGAAAATTCGAATTCGAGACTTAGGGTTCTGATACTATGTCAGATGTATAGAATAATCATCTAATCTAAAAGTTCAAGCTATTAGGTATACGTATCATTAATTTATTTATTTATAAACCGGAATCTCCTGCACTGTTTCAGTATTGTTTTTATTTTATTTTATTTTAATAAATACATTATTTACCTAACGTAAAATATATAATTACAATTCACAATATATTACATAAATATTGTCCCAGCTATGGTGTCCATATTACGTAAACACGAGAATTTATGACGAGTATAATTGGTAAATAATTAAAAATGTACTGTAAAGTAATTATGGTATAATAAAATAATTATAAATTAAAATTAAGATAACTAATTAATTTAATTAAAATTAAAAATTTTAAAATATAATTAAATTGTATAACTTTTTTTCAAAAAAAAAGTGACAATATAAATAAGATAGACGAAAATATAAAAAGGTGGACACGGTAAATGTGAAACGGAAGGATATTATCTTTATATTGCACATTACTAGTAGATGTAGTTTTATATATATGTATATATTTTTTTACATGTACTACATATAAATATAATATTAATATTAAAACAAAATACATACAAAAAGTAAATAATTATTTAATTTAGGGATAGAGGACTATTTATTTCTATTTAAAATATTAAATTAAAATATTAGTTATTTAAAAACTGACTGTACTGTATGTAATTTTATTATACTGTACACGGTATATAATTTTAACTTTTAATAGACTGTACTGTACTGTATGTAATCTTATCAAGTAACTAAAGTGTCTTGATTGATTTGGTTTCAAATACAAATCAATATTATTTATATAATTTATTTATAAAAATATATTATTTTTTATTATAAAATTATTATTTAATGAAAACTCAAATAATAAATTTGATTGTAAATTAAAACCACACACACACACACAAAACTTTTCAAAATTTCTTTTCTCATTTTTTTTTTCATGTCCATTATTCAATGTTCCAATTACTTCAAATATATCAATTGAATACTTATTTTTCACACAAATCATTATAGTTTAATTTATATTTAACTTAAAAAATACTAATATTCAAAATAAAAATACAAGTAAACAAATTTAAATATATTAATATATATATATAATATTAGAGCTGACAAAAATTGATTCGATACGACAATTCGACACGACCCGATACGAAATTATTGGGTTTGGGTCAAATATTTCAATCCGATTATGTATATGGATTGACACGAATCCAACACGATAGTAAACGAGTCGGGTTAGGGTTGAGGCTCTCAACTCGAACCCGACACGACAACCCGATTATAGTATATTAATATTGATTAATATATTTATTATATATGTAAAATAATCATAATTTAACAATTTTCTCATAAATTAATTTAAACTAAGTTCAATTTTAAATAATTCAATCTAATTTACGCTCAAACCAATAAAAACTAACATAACACGACAACATAACAAAAAATTATTTAATTTGAATCAAGAAATTCGACTTAATTATATATACGGGTCAACACGAGTCAACCCGAACCCGACATGATAATAAACGGGTCAACACGAACCCGACACGATCATAAACGGATCGAATTAAAATTGAGTAATTTAACCCATTTAAAGTATTCAACCCGATACGAATCGACTCATCGTCAGGTCTATACGATATATATATATATATATAGGTATGTATGTGTGTGTGGTGGCAATTGTGACCACATTAGAATAGCAACAAAGAAGAGCATATCATTCACATATGGAGACATGTATAAATATATATATTAAATGTATGTATATGCATCCATACATGGGCATGTGATGTGGAAGACACATACACATGCATTATTTTATATATTTGTTAGTGCATATGCACTTCACGTGGCGCCAACGTGGCTAATTTTGGTCGTTTTAATATAATATCATATCATATGCGTATATATATATATATATCACTTTTTTTTTTTTTTTTTTAATTTCAAATGCTCATCTTAGTTTGATCTTTTATATTAATACAATTTTAAATAAAAAATAAAACAACATGCATTCATGCAAAAAAAATATACATGAATGATTATGCAAACACCCCCTCTATTATATTTTAAGATTAATTAATTTATTTATTTTGTGTATATTTATATCATAATTTGACAGTTATTTCTGGTAAAATAGAGAAGGCCCCCAAAAATTAATTGGCTATTTATTGTTTAGTTTTTATTTAAAGTTTTTGTTGAAATAATAAATTTTTTTTCCAAAGGTAAATTATAGTATTTTTCTAGAAATCACAAGTATTTGCATAAAAAAAATAATGTTAATTATGATAAATTAACACATAAAATATGAATTGTCAAACACATGGCTTCAATTAATACAACATGTATATTATTATTATTATTATTATTATTATTATTATTATAATATGTTTCCCGTTTATATATTATAGATGTGTTGTATTAATATATTTTTTGTACTAAATTAAACAATCATTTGTTATATAGATTGTTATGTTGCATTTGTATTATACTAAAACTAGTCATTCTAATAACTAGAATTATCTTATTGAATTCAACAAACGAGTGTAATAAATTTGAGATGTAAAAAATGAATAAGTTATCAATAAAAATCATATTTTGTAATGAAATTTTAAAAATAACTTGTGATTTATATCGACACATGATTGTCCCAAGTAAAAAGAATATAAATTAATCATTTTTATTTTATTTTATTTTATTTTATTTTTATTCCTACACTTCAAAATGTACATGAAATTCGTATGGAACAGCTTTCCTTTATAGAATGCATGCAAAATTTCATAATAGTAAATAAGTTTCAATAATAGAAAAACTACAAACTGCTCGTAGCAAAAATAGGATAAGCAA